ATCTGTTAACAATTGTGTTTGTCGTTTTATTGTTAGTACCTCTAAGTTGACTGAGGATTTGATTCATATATTCAGCAGCTTAAATTAAGTACCCTCTAATGATAGTGTTTGCCCTTTGAAACAAGTTGTAATTTTTCAGATTTTGTTTCTATCTGCTATTTTGTATAGCAATTTGTTCTTAAATTAATCTGATGATAGGAGCTCTCATCCTTTAGCCTGCTTGCTTTTCTGTGAAAAATTATAGTGAATACGTCTTACCTGAAAATTAACATGCAGATCAGTTGGCATGACACTTGCTTGGGATTTCTTAATTGAGACTTTGTTCTATCTGGCATCCCTTGCGATATCCCACCTGCCAGTTAAGTTTGAATCACTGTGCAGTTGTGTGTCCAGTGTTTCAAACTGTTTGTGCCTGCTTCCACAACATCTAGTTCTGGCCAGAAATGACATCCTGGATAAAGAAAACTTTCATTATTTTTCACAGAAAAAGATTTTTCTCAGAAAAAAAGTCCAGTTAGCTTTAGGTAACTGTTCTGTAGAGTATTTTTCTATAGGAGTATGAACCCTCTGTTATCAGGGCCCTTTGTTACTGATGCAGATTATATAAACTGCTCAGAAAAATGATACCTAGAAGTAATCTATTTTACAATTACTTCATATTTCTTTGTTTGACTTTGTAGTAATAAACGATTTTTCCCCCCCAGATGCATTTGAAGCTGCTGATAATGCCATTGATGTTGGCCAGGATGACCTTGATTTTGCTGGGTAAGACTTGAAATTGATTCTTCCATCTCTTCTTTTCATAGCTATGTAGAGTTTTACTTTGCAAAATTGCACAGACCTTTTTCAGACCCACTCGGAGTTATCACCTTGCAAAAAGGACAATAGCAGCTGAATGCTGGGTAATGCTGCTTTTCTGTATGTCCCATAATGGAGCATTGTGATCCTGTGGTTCTTACAGTTTGCTGGATTGGCACATGAGCCCTGTAGTATTTCATAGAATCACAGAATAGTTAAGGTTGGAAAGGACCTTAAGATCATCAAGTTCCAACCCCCCCTGACATGGGCAAGGACAGCTCACTCTAAACCATATTACCCAAGGCCTCGTCCAGCCTGGCCTTGAACGCTGCCAGGGATGAAGCATTTTGTTTAGACAATGCAGTGACTCAGTAAGCAAGGTAAAAATCTTGGTTTTTCGTGGTCTCAGGTTTCTGTTTGAGAATTACCAAGTACAAGAGTAGGTAGAATGGGGCATAACGGTACTGCTGCAATAAGGACTGGTTGAACTGGACCTACTGCAGTAAGTAAACTTTGTGAAATCCAGAATCACAGAGCTAAGTTCTCAGGAAGTCAGCAGCTTCATGAGTCATAGACTAATTTAGGTTAGAAAGACCTTTAAAATTTAAAAAGACCTTTAAAGATTAAGTAGCCTCTTTTAATCAGCACAGAAACTTTCTTTCCTTGGGGTGAAAAGAGAATTAAAGCTTAAACTGTTTTTGAAACCTGAACATTTTTGTGAACTAGACTGGTGTGAGTAAAAAATAGTAGAAAGGAGACAAAAGCCAAGTAACCATCTGGTACAATGAAGATCCATATTTCCTTACTTAAAGGACAAAAAAGTATTGTTTCTTCATTTAGTAGAGTTGCTAGGGATAGCAGCAATGTGTTTCTTGCAGAAAAGGCCATCTGTAAAGGAGCAAAGGCACATAGCAGATAAAATACTGAAGCTGACATTTCTGCTAGTTTCATAATAGGATTCTCTTTAGAACTTCTTAAAATGGTTGACTTTTATAATACACTTCCACATGTTGATGTTGAAAACACCCCCAAGTGCATAACGCATGTATCTTTGTTCTCGGCCTACATGTGTAGTGGTTTGCAGGGATCTTGAACTTTTCTAACATAGTGTTTGCCAGTAGATGTCATCTGGGTGTAAACAGTATTTTGCCAGGTAAAGTGCTAAGCTTGTTTCGTATTTTTTTTAGTAATATAAAGAAGAAAACCAAAGGCAGTAGGAAAGGCCAAAGAAGCGAAGGATCCAGTGCTGATGGGGAGGATTCTGATGATGAAGATGAATTCAGTGATCTGGATGATGAGGAAGTCTCCTTAGGAAGTATGGAGGAAGACTTTGAAGAGGATATGGATGAAGAGGGAGGTGTATTTATGGATGTGTCTGATGATGATAACAGCCTAGGTAAAATACCATTTCTTACAAAAAAAGAACTTTAAAACTAGGTTATCTAGTATGTAATTACATATATAAATTCAGATTCAGTTACCTAAGTGGGAAGTTTGGCTTTTAAGCGGAGAAGTGACAAGTTCTTCTCTGGACAATGAAGTCTTGGGAGAGACACTGCTTGGAACAGTCTCCCAAGTGCGAGTGGGAATTTGGCATCTGGGGATAAAAATTTGCAAGGAAGACTTGTTTCTTTCATTCTGAAAACATTGACAGTAACAAAAGTAGCTTTATACACAAATAACTGGCTACAGTAGGCAGAAATATTAAAAGATATCCAAGAGAAAAATAAAAAGGAAGTGTTGCTACTTGGTGATTTTATTTGGTTTTTATTTCTTTAGACCTAGTTCGGGTTTTGGTGTGTTTTTTTTTTTTTAATGAGGTAACTGTTATTTTAATTGCTGTCTCATAAGTAACAGCTGCTCTTCTAATACAGCTGTGCACCCAAATTTTTATTACCATTGTAATAATAACTGGTTGTTGCACCTCCATGATTTTATTATCTTTTCAACTGAGAAGCCCAGCTTACACTGTGCACGCTTTACGTGGCTGGAAAAGCACAGATCAGAGGTATTTCAGCTAACAACTGAAGGTCACGGGGAGATGATTGAGGGTAGAGGAGGTAAATTATTCATAGAGCTGTTAACATAGTAGTCGTTCATATTATTATTTCACCAACTTAACAAGCAGACATTCAAGGCATATGTAACACCTGCTTTTAGCCTTCGTATTTTATGTTTCTTAGATTTGTATTTCATTCCTTTTTGGTGCTGTGGAAAAAAGCATAAAGAATGTCACACCACTGACCCATTTTTAATTGTCTGGGTTGAAGAAATCCCAGATTTGGTTGTTTGTGCTGTGTTTTAAACTTTTTTTAAAGTAATGTCTTGGACCATTATAAACCAAAATAATGCCTAAAATGAAATTTTAGTATCTGCTGTGCTTTAAATATATGTACATGGTGTGAGAATGAAGGGTTGATGTATCTTCTTCTTTTCTGTCAGACCCGAACAGTAACAAACGATTGAAGTCTGTCAATAAAAAGGGCAAGAGAAAGAAAGATACAAATTTTGTGGGATCACTTGAAGGTAAGGGAACACTGCCATGATTTCCATGTGAGAAAGCTTAATACAGATACAGTCTGAAGAACTTTGGGTTTTGGTACAGCAGATTATCTATACCTTTGGATGAATAAACCATTATTCATCCAAACCAAAGGAGATTGTCCTTCAACCACCATTGCCTAATTCAGAGTAACAATCTGCTGTTGGGACTCAAAGCAGGAACTGGGACCCAAAAGAAGGAACTTTCAAAGGAAGGATGGAGTTGTACTCGTGGTTTGTGCATCTGTTCCTAATGTCTGATACACAGATTTGTGCTATTAGTTCTTGGTTGGAAAGTGCTCATTCCATTTTTTTAATTTTGGGGGGGGCGGGGGGGGGAGGTGAAGAATAAACATTTCTAACAGCTATTCTAGATGGTCTCAATAAAATGCTAAAAACTTCACCAAAACCCAACCTCATCATAACACTTTGGTTTAGTGTCTTTCTGAAGTTGAAATTCTGTCTTATAAGAATAATGTTTTTTGTTTGAAGGAGCCAACCGAGGAAAGAAGAGAAAACTCCAAGATGCCAAGATACTGGCATCTGCAGAGGAGGTGAGTTTGATCAGTACTTAGCAAAAAGTGATCAAGCATTTTACCTGGTTCTTTGTAATAAAATACTAAATTTTCTCTCTTTAAAGTTTGGCTCTCTGCTGGATGAAAATGTTGGGTCTAAGTTTGATAATATTGGAATGAACGCCATGGCCAACAGAGATAATGCAAGTAAGTACATGGTACAAACAGCAGAAAGGTATAATGCTGTTTCACTTCTCTCTCTTCGGGTTCTGTAGTTAACGAGATGTACCTTCTCTAACTGAAATTCACATGTGGTCCGAAGTCACACATAGGGACAGTGGGTCACTGTCAATAAGACATGACTTAGTCAGTTACTAGCCCAGTGCTAATGTTAACTGTGTCTACTGGAGAGAACAAGGCTTCAGAAAAGACAAAGAGGCTATCATGTGGCCCTTTCACACTGTAAACAAGGATGGGCAGCATGCTGTCTGTCAAGCATTTGTGTGAATTTTGCTCTGATAAAGTGTTCTGGATTCTTGTAAAAGGAAGGCATATGACATGCCCATTTATATACCTACTGGGGTATTTCCTTGCAGTATCAGTGAAGCAAAAGTAGTTCCCCAGAAATAATTCCAATGAATTAAATGTGCATATACTGAGTGAATAATCAGTCCTGTCTAGAGCTTTTACAAGTCTTGCTGGTGTCACCTGAAAAATGTGAACAGCAGAGCTCAAACACTGTGTACTCCTAACACAAGCATATCTAGAATTAGTAAAATACAAAGCAATGGCAAGAGTGGTCTTAAACTTTGAGGTGCTGAGAAGGTGGGGTATGTTCTGTGAAATGAAAACCCCAAAACTTTCTCTGGTGTCAAAACCAAAAAGGCAGCTTGCACTTTATTAACATTTATAAATACAGCAGCCGCGTTTTAACTGTTACATGTTTTATCTGTATTTTATGTCATTATCAGAGATAGCTGTTCACTCCTCATCACCTTTCCTCTTACAGATATTAAACAGATCCAGTGGGAAATAGAGCGGGACAAGTGGCTTCATGACCGGGATGTGAAAAGCATCATAAAAAGAAAGAAACAGTTCAGGCACAAAGGGCTGAAAAACAAGTACAAAGGCAAGAAATCAAAAAGATGAACTGGACATTTTAATGTGGACATTTTTTACAATAATTATTCTAAAATAATTTTTCAGTCAATCAGACGCCTTTCTTACTTTAATTCTTGCTGCTTAACCATGCCATTTGGTCATTCTCCCTTATGCCGTGAATTCCAGACCACTCATTGGATTTGTAATACACTGAAAAACAGGAAAATCCGTGTAAGCTCCAAGTGAGGCATGTCCAAAGGTGAGCCACTTTGTGGCTGTTTTTGTTGGACGTACAGTCTGTCAGTTCCAAGGAGTCTATCCAACACTGACACTCCAACCATACCTCTGCATAACAATAAACACTTCTGCAGTGTCTCCTGGGATAAGTTTTAAGCAATAATAGAATTGGGTTTGTATGAAAGATACAGCAGAAGCTTCAGCCTCCTTCTGAAGCCAACAGCTGCAAACCTACCTTCCAGAATTGATGGGAACTTCTTCTGCATTGTGTATCTGAAATCTGGCAAAAAAGATAAGTCACAGTTACTTTATCAGCCATGTTTAGGGCAAATAATTAAATGCACTATTTTTATAACTAGATTAGTTTTACGTAAGTTTGAGTTCCTTGGTTACAGCCATCATTAAACAATGTGATCTGAATTTACTTTTTTTACATTGTATTACAGACTGTATTCAGTTTATTTATATGTGCAGCCCTATCATCGCACTGTTTTCTAAGCTTCCTCACAATTGTGATAACCAGATACAAGCTACAGATTCACAGGAAGCTGAATGCCTCTAGCAGACTGATGTGCAAATGAAAACTGGGAAGACTGCTCTGCTTCCTTACGCAGCTTTAGGTGTTCGCTGAATCCTCATGAGGGGTGCTCTGGCAACCCAACAGAAAATCATGTAATGACAGCTAGCTTTGTGCTAGTTTAATGAGTTACAGCAGCTCACAGAACGATCTTTCCAATGCTAGTACAAACACAAAGAAAGCATACTGAGTTGTTAAAAGAGCTCGCTGCACCTTCCAGAACTACATCAACTACAGCTTATCTTCTGCAAAGTCATAGAAGAACTAGGACCTAGAACTGAAAAGGAGAAATGAGAAACCATGAATGCACAGCACCAAGCTAGCAAGACAGGCCCGTACACATGTCATGCAGATTTTGATTATATATATTTTTATAAAAATGCAAAGAAGGACAGCTGAAGTGTCTGTTTCATGGCTTTCTGGTAAGAAATGCCAACTGACATAGTGTAGGTGAAGTTAGGCTTGAGCTACTGCTTGTGCCTTCCAAGCCACCGCAGCAGCTGCACTTTTGGGTGGCACTGGCCGTGCTGGTAGCAGGACTACCTTCTCCCACAGCTCTGGCAAACCAGCACTGCAACTTGCAGAGCCCTGAATACAAAGTAAGACCACTGCTGTGTAAAGCACATCTTGCAGTACTGAGTTGGTGCTTGGCTTATTTTTGTGTTGCTGAGGCAGAGTCCTAAGTCTGAGAGACTTGAGGGACTGAAGCTGAATCAGAGGGAAGATGATGCTGGGTACCTCGTGCCAGCCGGGTCTGTTGTCTACCTGGGAAATGTCAAATCACAGTGCCTGTGAGACCTATATCCGAGAAAGGGCACCCCTTCAGGGCTGAGCATCAGGCGCCTGTAGGAGGATTGATAACTGTCTCATTGCAGACAGCCTCTCATTTTTAAATGCCTGTTTGAACTGATGCTGTTACTATCCAAACACACAAACCCAGCTTTGTCCCTGGGGGCCGTGTGCTCCCTTTCAAGAGTGTCTCCATGGTTTTGTCTTTGCAAAACTAAAACAGCAGCTTGTCTTTAACAGCTGTACCCGAGGTTTCGTGCAACAAGCAACGCTCTGTGTGTACCTACACTGACACAAGCCGAGCCAGGTCAGTAGACCCCAATTTACAAACCCCCGCGCAAGCAGCGTGAGGTGCTCCGAAGGCGCCTCAGGCGGGGAGAAGCTCGCCCTGCCCCGGCTGCCACCCCGTCCCCCGGCCGTCCCGCCGCACCTTGGCTGCGGTCCATGGCGCGGTAGAGCAGGAGAGCGCCGAGCAGCCCCGCCGCCTCCAGCACCAGCAGCCCTTTCACGACACGCCGAGCCATCGCTGCCGCAGGGCCACAGCGTCCTTCCGTTACCGACGGTACCGGCCGCACATGCGCCGTTTCCGCGCAGCGGGCTGCGCATGCGCATGCGTCACCCTGTGTCTGTCTGATAGTGTCCTGGTCGGTGTGGTGGGCACGTTTGTGGCTGAGGTCCTGCTGAGGTGATGCCCTGGGGCTGCGGCTGTAGGAGGTGGCAGGAGCTGCCTCAGTCCCGTCGCTGCCCGGGCAGGCCCAGCCGGGGCGGTTGCCTGGCACAGTGGTGGTGGTGGTGTGTGCTGGTGGCAGTCCGTGACCCTCGCTGGTCACCTCTGGCTGCGGGCAGCTGTTCCGATGTGGCACTGCCTGTTTCTGCTGCCCAGGGACACCCACTGTCCTGCCCTCTCTTTCAGCTGGGAGCTGTTGGCATGTGTGCTGCCACAGTGAAGAGGCCGGGGCAGGTCTTCTTGTACCATGCTGAGGGTTATGAGCAGGTGCCCCCCAGTAAGCAAGGGAGCAGGCCCACTGACCAGTGCTGTGTTCCTGCTGCTTCAGCTGGTGGAGGAGCAGTGCTGTGCCTCCTGGGTGTCAGCACTGATCTGTCTGTTTCCTGCTAGGGGACTACACAGTTAGGTACATAAGGTTCACAGCTGTTGAAAAGGGATCCTAGTTCTTCCATGGGGATGTTGACAAAAACTGTGCCATGCAAGATCATCAGAAACCGTAGTGACAGGAGAAGGAGTAACAGGTTCAAACTTAAACAGAGGAAGTTTAGATTGGACATAAGGAAGAAGTTCTTTACTGTAAGGGTGGTGAGGCACTGGAATGGGTTGCCCACTGAAGTTGTGAATGCTCCATCCCTGGTGGTGTTCAAGGCCAGGTTGGACAGAGCCTTGGGTGACATGGTCTAGTGGGAGGTGTCCCTGCCCGTGGATTAGAACTAGAGGATCTTAAGGTCCTTTGGAACCCCAACCATTCTATGGTTCTATAATTCTACCTCAGTATTTGTCTTTTTGATGTGAAAAAGGGTGTTAGTGCAGACTAGCTTCCATATAGGAGTATTTAGAAACAAGAATGGCAGCATCCTTTCCTTGCCAGTAGTGTTCTTCCTGTTCTGTAGTTTTGATTTCGGTGTTTTATGTCATTCACTATCTATTTCTGTTGACTCATAGAGTGGGGCTGGCTTTATTGCAGAAATAAAACCTCTTGGGATTTTTCTTAATAGGGATTTTCTTTTCTTAGTGAGATGCTATTTATTCCCATTAATGTTATGGAAGATTAGATCTAATATTTTGCTGTTCATTCCCACAGGGTGATTAATTATCCAATTCTGTTTCCCCGGTGGCTGAGCTTGCAAGAATTACTTGCTCTCAGTGGGATTTCTTGCTAAAATAATTCCTTCTCTGTAGATTGTCAGTGGACAGGATCAACTGAGGTTCCATTTCCAGAAAGGAGGGAAGGGAGGAGAGAAAGAAACATATCAAATTTAGGGGAGCGTAGAAGGATTTCTGATTCACCCCTTAATAATGTCTAGTTAAAGGCCCTTACTGCATTAGACTGACAGTTTCACACCCCACAGGTGGCAAACATGGCTGAGGATAAACAATCTTTGTTGGCAAGATAAGTGTTGGCAAAGTGTGAAGGACTTACCTTGAAGGATCTGCTGTTCTCCTACCAGGGGACCCCGTATCCTGTCACAGTGTGCAGTGCAGAAATGTTCCAAGCTCTGGATGACCTGGAAGCTAGAAGAGATGATATGGTGCTGGTGTCCTACCCCAAATGTGGTAAGTTATAAATTGCTTTCTGTGAGCTACGATACTGTAACTAATGAGCTGACACAATAAGAAGGAAAACCAACTGAATGTGGGTTTATATTGTGTGAGGACATTGGGCATTGCTACTGCAGCTGGAGGCAGCAGGGTTTTGTCCAGCCTTATGTTACTCAAGCAGGCTGTCGTACTGCTTTTTTATACGGTTTATGTCTGGAAGGAAGTTTTGAAACTGTTTCGACTGAAGAAGTAGGACTAAAGTATATTTTTTATATATATAGCAGTGACACAAGACAACTTTGCCAGTATGTTAAAGTGTTTTCTGGAAAGCTTGTTAGTAATGTAATTTAGCGTAGTGTTCAAAAGCAATAAAGTTATGCATTAGACTTTTTAATGCGTAGAAGGTGTCAGGACAACACCTTTGCTTGCAAAATCATAAGCTGTTTCTTGGCATTATTCAGTATCAGCATTGTTTTTTGTGTTTTGTTTTGTGACTGCAAAATGGTATTGAGTCAGAGGCTTGCAGAAAGGAGGAAAGGTGCAACAGGAGCAGTGAAAAAAACCCAAACAACCCACTACTTGATTTTGACCAGTTTTAGTAAATGTCAAGTGTGACATAGTTGCTTACGACAAACAGATGGGTTTTGCTAATCTAGGAAATCCTCTCCCACGAGTATGTTTCTTATTTAAAACCTAAGAAGCAGAAGCTTCTTGGGTTGTTGAAGAAGGTTGTTGGAGAAAATGTGGGTCCAGAGAAGGATTTCATTTCATGAACATGGTGGTGGATGCATTCAAGTTGGTCTCTAACCAGGAAGTCCTAGATCAAGGTCTCATTCACACAGAATCCATGTTGGCTAGTGAGTTCTGATCTGGAAAGAGACTTTCGTATGTTTAGGGTTGTAGAGAGCATGCTTGTAATGTTTAGGCTGAATTTATAGCAGCTGGGAGACAGAATACCGAACCAACAGAAAGAGAGGGAAAATACAAAAGAGAGCTAGTACAAAATATTAAATGTGCATCTTTATTTTAAGGATCCCATAATTCCTTTGGGTTTGGGTCCAGCGTTTTTCTGGACACTACAAAGGCCTAAAAAGTCACTGTCAAAGCTTAGCTTTGATTTCTCATCCGAGTTTGGAAGAGTTCAGACATGGAGCTGTGATGCTGATTGCTTCTGAGGTTTAGTAACTCAGTAAACCTCTCCTGCTTTGGGAAAAGGATCAGTAGATAAAGATCTCACACTGCTAATACTGGGCAGTTTATGGTAGGTCAGTGTCATGGTTTAAGCCAGTAGGTTTAGAGACTAGGGATTTTAGCTGTATCAACTGAAGGTTTTTGTTAAAATTTGTGCACATGCAATTAATATTGGGCAGATGAGGACATGGATTAGGAACTCTTAATGCTTTTGGCTCTGATCTGTGTATAAATGGGAGAATGATATAAATCATAGAATCATACAGTGTCTTATGATTGGGTGGTATATAAATATAATATTCTAAGACATTGTGCGATGTGTACACATTGTATAAACATTACTGTACTATACTGACATACCAGCTGCTTCCATTCAAGCATCCTGAGGCACTTTGTGTAGCATGGGGTGGAAGTTACTCTGTTCTGGGAATAACTTTCCACTGAAAGCATGAAGTTAAAGCTGAACATTGTGTGTTCCTTGCTAGTGTCTCTGGCAGCTGTGTTCACAGGGGACTTTTCATTCAGTCAGCTGATTGGAGCTAGCCCAGCTAGAGCCGCAGCCGGCACACTACAGAGACCGCGAGGTTCTACCGAGATTAGGAAAATCAGAGGGGATAGCGCAGAGGCATCGCGATTCCCGACATTTCCCGACATTTCCTGATTCCCGAAGTCCCAGCAGCCCTTGTGAGAGAGCGGCTGACGTGGCGGGGGGTGTTCCCACGGTGACGGCGACCACCCCCCGCCCCTTGACTTGAAAGAGCCTTTGAGAGGGCAGCGGTGTCGCTGCGCACCAGGCCCAGGGAAGAACAGGGAGGTCGTTTTGCTGACCAATATGGTCGCCTCCAGAAAGAGAGCTAGCAGTAAGAGGGCTGTAGCAACTCAGATACAGACCCCGACCCTAACTGTGGCTGTTCAGGTCTCTGGATGCAGGGAGTGCCAGAGCCTGCTACTGCCGGGGGAGGGAGGACAGCATTCCACCTGTGTGAGGTGTGAGCAGGTGGAAGATCTGCTTAGCTTGGTGGCTAAACTTAAGGAGGAGGTTGAGATGCTGAGGAGCATCAGGGAGTGTGAAAGGGAGATCGACTGGTGGAGTAACTCCCTGGCTGGCCAGTTGGAACGGCTCCAGGGAGATACCCCCCAAAAGGGGATGGACCCCCTGCCCTCTCAGACAGAGGGGGATGGCCTGAGACAGCCCCTGCCCTGTAGCTGTCGCCCGGAGGTAGGGGACCAAAAAGTTGATGAGGGTTGGAAGCGAGTTCCGGTTCGGCATCGTGGGCAGCCCTCCTCCCTTCCTGCCCTGCTTCCCCAGGTGTCCCTCCGTAATAGGTTTGAGGCCCTGGATCTTGAAGGAGAGGTAGGTGAGGATGTGGTGCAAGGCCCGCCTACAAGGCCACATAGGAAAAGGCGGTCGACTTCACACCTCAAGACTGCCTCTGATAAGAAAGAAAGAAGGGTCATTGTAGTAGGTGATTCCATTCTGAAAGGAACAGAGGGCCCGATATGCAGAGTTGACCCTCATCATAGGGAAGTGTGTAGTCTGCCTGGAGCCCGGATCAGGGATATCACCAGGGTGCTCCCCAACCTGGTGTGCCCGACAGACTACTACCCGCTGCTGGTCTTCCAGACGGGTGAAGGGGAACTTGCTTCCCGCACTCTGAGGGAGATGAAGAAAGACTACAGGGCCTTGGGGCGGATGGTGAAAGACTCTGGGGCTCAGGTGATCTTCTCTTCGCTCCTTCCATCTTCTGTTGATGATGTGGGACTGAATGGGAAAATTCAGTCCATAAACGATTGGCTTCGAGGCTGGTGCTGCAGGCAGGGCTTTGGATTCTTTGATAACGGCTGGTTTTATAGGGCACCAGTCTGGACATTGGCATGTGGGAAAGGTTTATCGCACAGAGGCAAAAGGATGCTGGGGCACGAATTAGCAGGGCTCATTTGGAGAGCTTTAAACTAGATTCGAAGGGGGATGGGGTTGTAGCTGGGCTTGCCTCAGTGGGACAGCGCTCCGGAATTGATGATGACTGGGAGGCCTCCTGTAATCCTAGGGTGAAATCGGTGTGCTCGGCTCGCTCCCTGAAATGTCTGTACACCAATGCGCGCAGCATGGGAAATAAGCAGGAGGAGCTAGAAACCTGTGTTAAGTCAGGAGATTATGACCTGGTGGCAATTACAGAGACGTGGTGGGACAGCTCACATGACTGGAATATAGTCATGGAGGGCTATGTCCTTTTCAGGAAAGACAGGCCAGCCAGGCGGGGTGGTGGGGTTGCTCTTTATGTGCGAGAGCAGCTACAATGCGTTGAGTTCTGTCCGGGGACAGATGATGAGCGAGTTGAGAGTCTGTGGGTGAGAATTAAGGGACAGGCTGGCAGGGGCGATACTGTTGTGGGGGCCTGTTACAGGCCACCAGATCAGGGTGAGGAAGTTGATGAGGCCTTCTATAGGCAGCTGAGAGCAGCCTCACAGTCACAGGCCGTGGTCGTCGTGGGGGATTTTAACTTCCCTGATGTTTGCTGGAAGGACTACTCGGCAACCCAGCCGCAGTCCAGGAGGTTCCTCCAGTGTATGGATGATAACTTCCTCATGCAAATGGTGGATGAGCCAACCAGGAGAGGAGCGCTGCTGGATCTCATCCTCACTAACAAGGAGGGTCTGATCGAAGCAGTGAAGGTTGAGGGCTGCCTTGGTTGCAGCGACCACGAGATGGTGGAATTCAAGATCTTGTGTGGTAGGGCCAGTAGAATAGCAAGTAGAATTGCAACCCTGGACTTTAGCAGGGCAAACTTTGGCCTCTTCAAGCAATTGCTAGGGGAAATCCCATGGGCAAGGCTGCTTGAAGGGAAAGGGGCCCAAGATAGTTGGTTGACGTTCAAGGACTGCTTTTTCCGAGCTCAAGATCAGAGCATCCCGACATGTAGGAAGTCAAGGAAGAGGGTCAGGAGACCTGCGTGGCTAAATAGGGAATTGCTGGGTATGCTGAAGTGGAAGAGAAGAGTTTACAGGTCATGGAAGGAAGGGCTGGCCACTTGGGAAGAATATAAGGCTGCTGCTAGAGGATGTAGGAAAGCAGCTAGGATGACTAAGGCCTCCTTGGAATTAAAGCTGGCGAGAAGGGTCAAGGACATCAGAAAGAGCTTTTTCAAATACATGGCAGATAAAACTAACACCAGAGGCAATGTAGGCCCGCTGATGAACGGGACGGGTGCCCTGGTGACAGAAGATACAGAGATGGCAGAGTTACTGAATGACTTCTTTGTCTCTGTCTACTCTGCCGGAGGCAGTCCTGAAGAGCCCTGTACCGCTGAGACCCCGGATGAAGATAGGTCAACGGAGCGGTCTGCCTTAGTCGATGAGGAATGGGTTAGAGACCAGTTGAGCAATCTGGACATCCATAAATCCATGGGTCCAGATGGGATGCACCCGCGGGTGCTGAGGGAACTGGCTGAGGTCATTGCTAGACCGCTCTCCATCATCTTTACCAAGTCTTGGGAAACAGGAGAGGTGCCTGAGGACTGGAGGAAAGCAAATGTCACTCCTGTCTTCAAAAAGGGCAAGAAGGAGGACCTGGGTAACTATAGACCAGTCAGCCTCACCTCCATTCCTGGGAAAGTGATGGAACACCTTATCCTTGGCGTCATCCTAAGGCATATCAAGGATAAGAGGGTTATGAGGGGCAGTCAACATGGCTTCACCAAGGGGAAGTCATGCTTGACCAATCTCATAGCCTTTTATGAGGAAATAACACGGTGGATGGATGATGGCAGAGCGGTGGATGTGGTCTACCTTGACTTCAGCAAATGACACGGTCTCCCACAGCATCCTCACAGTTAAATTGAGGAAGTGTGGTCTGGATGATCGGGTAGTGAGGTGGACTGTGAACTGGCTGAAGGAGAGAAGCCAGAGAGTTGTAGTCTATGGGGCGGAGTCTAGTTGGAGGCCTGTATCTAGTGGAGTGCCTCAAGGGTCGGTACTGGGACCAGTATTATTTAATATATTCATCAATGATTTAGATGAGGGAATTGAGTGTACTATCAGCAAGTTTGCTGATGACACTAAGCTGGGAGGAGGGGCCGACACACCAGAAGGCTGTGCTGCCATCCAGAGAGACCTGGACAGGCTGGAGAGTTGGGCAGGGAGTAACTTAATGAAATATAACAAGGGAAAGTGTAGAGTCCTGCATCTGGGCAGGAACAACCCCAGGTTCCAGTATAGATTGGGGAACGACCTCTTAGAGAGCAGTGTAGGGGAGAGGGACCTGGGGGTCCTGGTGGACGACAGGATGACCATGAGCCGACACTGTGCCCTTGTGGCCAAGAAGGCCAATGGCATCCTGGGTTGTATTAGAAGGGGGGTGGTTAGTAGGTCGAGAGAGGTCCTCCTTCCCCTCTACTCTGCCCTGGTGAGACCGCATCTGGAATATTGTGTCCAGTTCTGGGCCCCTCAGTTCAAGAAGGACAAGGACCTGCTGGAGAGAGTCCAGCGCAGGGCAACTAAGATGATTAAGGGAGTGGAGCATCTCCCTTATGAGGAAAGACTGAGGGAGCTGGGTCTCTATAGTTTGGAGAAGAGGAGATTGAGGGGTGACCTTATTAGTGCATATAAATATATAAAGGGGGAGTGTCACGAGGATGGAGCCAGGCTCTTCTCAGTGGCAAACAATGATAGGACAAGGGGCAATGGGTGCAAACTGGACACGTTCCTGTGTAACCTTATCTAGGTGTTCCTGCTCCGGCAGGGGGATTGGACTAGATGATCTTTTGAGGTCCCTTCCAATCTCTAACATACCGTGATACTGTGAGTTTTAGCATGCAGGAGGCGGCAGCTCTGCAGCTCCATCTCTGTGGGCCTGGTGGGAAGCCTTCCAAAGCACCTCCCCACAAGGATGCAGGGAGTGGTGCTGTGGGCCAAGGTGAACACACTGTTCCCTTGCTTTGTCCTGCCGGCAATCGGCAGAGTATCAGAGGAGCAAATGTGATTCCTGGAAACCTCGGGAAAGCAGGCACCATGGCACAGCTCCAGGAGCTGGCCACAAGCTCACACTGGAAGAGGATCTGGTATGGGGGGGAGGCTTTGCTGCAAGATCTCTTCCAAAGGGTCAGAGGTGGGGAGAATGCAGGTGTCCAGTGGGTAACAGCTCTTCTAGCACTTGTTCTGGCGTGCACTTTATAGAGACAGCAATAGGCACAGAGGACAAGTGCTAGCAGTGATATTGAATAGGTGACTGTATTCTGTCCTTGACCTAGGGCAGTAGAGAGAGGCAGGTGCTGCCCTTGGCAAAATGAGTGAAGCTGCTTGCTCGCTCCTTCCCTCTCCTATCTAGAACCTTCCCAGGTGCTTCTGCAAAAGACAGGAAAGCTCCTGTTATTGCCTGGCACTGTTTAATGAATATAGTAAAATGATGTTAAGTGCATTGTTGACCCAGTTTTGCCCTCATACCACATACCAGTTACAAGTGAGCCCTTGGTCACAGTTAAGAAGCTGCTGAGGATCCCATTAATGAAAGGCATTATTTTATTTATAATCATTTGAGAACTTCAATGCTATTTGTCATCTGATGACTGTCTATTATGCTGAATTAGTCATGTAATGAGAAGGCTCTGGGATTTTATATAAACTTCTGCTATGTTTCATTTTGTTCTCTGGGTTTCTTAGTGCAGGTGTGAACTGGCTCATCGAGATTTTAAGTGATTTGATATTTACAACTATCCAGAGTAAAACTGTGAGCACAGAACTACCATTTATTGAATGTGGAGATCCAGGTAAATACCAGGTTAGTGAAAAGAAGCTATTGAACTACTTAAAGTCTGTCGTTTTCTCTCTCCTGCACCCCCGCAGAAAAGTTATTAAAATGAAGTCATGCAGCAAGTAAAGATATTTCTCCTGAGAGGGAAAAAACGATAATCTGGGATGACTAATGTCTTTTGATTAGGGGCTGTTTCACACAAGCGACTCTCACAAATCATTGCTGCACCCATTTAATAAACCTGTTCTCACTTATGGTTCTGTTTACTTCTAAAGAGATGAAGCAGATTCCATCTCCAAGGATTTTGGCAACACATCTGAATTACGACTGCCTCCCCAAGTCTGTTTTCAAGAACAAAGCCAAGGTGGGCTTTTTCCTTTTACCAAGAGCAAGCCTCATCTCTCTGACAGTGCCAGCGTGCAAAAGTGATTTTGGGACCACATCCTTTTCTTGCACCCAAGCAGGTCGCAGTGGGGAAAAGCAGCTTGGAGACAATGGGAGTCTTACGATGCCTAGGCTAGCTGTGATTTATAGTAGCTTTAGGGCTGCTGTAGTTGACATAAATAAGAACAGATCTAGAGGTTGTTGCAGTGCTCAGAAATGGCTGTAGTGTCACGCTTTCCTTTTTTAAATTACTCTTCTATGCACAGACATAGTGGGAATCAGTGTGGCAGCAGTATCTCTGGGATATTGTCTGTCTCCTTGCAAAGAGTCACACTGTTAAAACTTCATTATTTCTGATACTTGGTCACTGATCAGTGCAGGATACATAGCACTCACAAGATGTATCACAGATGAAGGAAACAGCTGGTTAAGGGATGAGGATTTGTTCTATGTTTTACTGGTATTTCACTGTCCTGTAAGAGACAGGAAAAAATATAATGTGTATAGCAAAAAATTTAAATATGTATAAGGTGTTTTCAGAAGTGTTCATGCTTCTCTGAGGATTACAGTCTCTTAGGATTTCAAGAACGTTATTGCCATGCTTTGAAAAATGGGAGATGTTTGTAACAGCTGCAGTTTCCTCAAGGAGAGTCGAACAGAGATTTTCCTAGCAGAGGGTTGGCAAATGGTTGCTTACAACTTATCCCAAATCTTATGGGATAGTATTCAATCACAGTATTAGTTTTCCCAGTTGCTTCTTTCTACAGTTGCTTCATGACATAAGCAAATCTTGGAAGTTGTAAGAAGGTCTTTATTGTGTTCATGCTGTAAGTTTGTTCTCCATGCCTTAACTAATAAAATATTTTGTAGCCCCCAGTATGTTATTGATTGCAGAATGTTTGGTTATATTCTCATTTTGGTTGCCATGGGAAATAAGTGATCTAAACTTGTTGGCTTCTTTTTCCCACTCCAGATACTAGTGTTGTTTCGAAACCCTAAAGATACAGCTGTTTCATTTTTCCATTTCCACAACAATGTGCTAGGCATCCCCAGTTACTGCTCTTGGGATGAGTTCTTCTCAGAGTTCATGAATGGGAAAGGTATTGTTGCAGTTACTGAATGTAGCTGAAGAAGCATCAGGAAAAATAGAATAAAATTAAAAACAACTAAACGGGGCCTTTGGGAAAACAGCTGTGTCATAATTAGTTTACTGATGGCCATATGTCATGATAAAGGAGGCAGCTGAATGCCAGAATGGGGAGAATGTCCAAAAGATTCTTTGCTTCTGGGTATTTTGCTCTTCCAAGCAAGGGTGAGGGAGTTGCATGGCAGGTGGGCAATAGCATTGGGTCAACATTCTGCCACTTAGTGATGAAGGAAATGCTAAAGATCTGAAGTGTTAATAAAATGACAGTTTGATGACTTTAGTGCTGAACATGAGGCCAAACACCTCATTAGTAACCCAAGTTTTAGGTTTAGACCGATGTGTGGCTTTGGCTTTTAAGAGATGTTTAAATGGCAATAAATAACAGAGGGGAAGCACTTAGTTAAATTCATATTTCTGTGTGGAAACTGTTTACCTATAAAAAGTCCAGAGGAAGCCTCTGTCATTCTATTGTATGGTAGCACAGAAAGAGCAGGCTGTTCTGTTCCTTTGCGTGGATGAGAAATAAGTACCCAGTAAGAAAAGAATATCACGCTGATGCTTTTATTTTCTTCTTTACAGTCATCTGGGGATCCTGTTTTGGTCATACAGTCACCTGGAATAAACACATTGAGGATGAGAATACTATGATTGTAATATATGAAGACCTCAAAGAGGTAAAACAGTTGCTATGAACTGACAGGCAAAGCACATCCGAGCCCATTACTTGAAATTTGCTGAAATTAACAGGAAAATTTCAGAAACCTGCATTTCTGAAAGGCAAAAATCAAATTGAGAGACTGGAGCTGAGCTCCAGTGTAATGCAGAAAACATGGGGAAGGAAAATGTATTGTTAACAGATGATAGCAATGCACATCCCAAGTGAGTAACTCCTTTATTAGAGTAAGCATATTCCATGTTTTCTTTTCACTGTATTGCTTTTAGAACCTGACTGCCAGTGTAAAACAGATAGCTGAGTTCTTTGGATTCTCCCCAGCGGCAGAGCAGATCCAGTCCATTGCAGGTAGGGCCACTTTCCAGGCAGTGAAGGATAAAGCTCAGGAGATTCATGGTGCTGTTGGCTCATTTATTTTCCGCAAAGGCAAATTTGTTTGTATATTGTCAGGGTGAATGCTGGTGAATGGTAGTACTGAATCTTGAGCAGACAGGAGTTTGGGTCGGTAGATGGTTAATCTTTACATACAGTTTTCAAGGTTGGGAGTTCTTTAAGAAACACTTGGTTGTGCTTCAGGACACTGTCTCTTGATTTCTTCACAAGGGCCAGTACCATTCATTAAAGCAGTATATAATATGATAAGCAGAAGTGCCCTACATGTAGGACACCTTCAGTCGTGGTATGCAGTAAGCATCTATTAAAAGAAAGAAGACCTTTAATTTGGTTTCTGTGAGTGCTGGGGATGGCCTGGCATTGGGTCTGCAGGATGCCTCTGCTGATTTTTCTTCTAAATAGCCTGTGTCATTGCCTAGGAGCCTCAGTCAGCACGTGGAATCCAGACACTGCACAGACTGACCTGTGTCTTTTGCCCATGGATCAAGCGAGGGCTGTAGACTCAGACAACCTCAGACTGTGGGCTCTCCAAAATCTAGATTCAATATAAACTGTACCTTAGGGGAGCGCACAAAGCTCTTGCTGTTAAAAGCCATATCTCTGAACTTTCTGTATTGTTTTCACAACTGCTGGTCATCTTCCAGTCTTCTGCAGCTGTGTAAGGTACATGCCAAAGCTATGAAGGCAGACCGGTAGCTTCCTATGTTCACTTTATGTTCACATTCTATTGAGGACACCAAGCAGAAGGAAAACATAGGAGTTTCTTTCTTGGGTCAGAGGTCATTTTTCTTGCAGAAAAAAAAATAAGATAACCCTGTATGTTTTAAATCATACTCCTTTGTACTTACAGTCAAGGGTAATATTTTACTTTTCTTTATATAACAGGTGTTGTTGGAGACTGGAAAAATCTTTTCACTGAAGCTCAGAACCAGGAAATGGATGCCAAATTCAAAGTGTGCTTAGAAGGAACTAATCTGGGAGCAAAGTTAAAATATGATGTATACTGCAAGGGCTGAACCTCCTTTATGGAAAAAACCTCATGTTCAGGCTGCTTTTTATTCACTTTTATGAAATAAACAGAAACCAGGACAATATCTGATTAAAAAAAAATTGAAAATGCATGCCGTTTGCAAACCTGTTTCTGCTGGCTTAACTTACTCAAGCAACCTTTGCTTGTGCAGTTAGTATCATTGACTTCACTGGCTTTTCTTAAATGATCTGTAGTTTTTTGGCCTCACTTGGTTTTTAACACTGATTTTTAGGTAATAATTAATGTTATGTTACCTGGTAGAATCCTATGTGGAATATATATATGCAGTAGTTAAACCTACTGAAATCACTGGAAATATATTTGGTACATTGGAAGTGATTTTCCAAGAGATTTTTTTAAAGCAATCATAAAGTGTCATAATTTTAATTCTTAATTTCTACGTTCAAAGTATTAATTTACAATGTTAATTTATGAGGTTCAAAGTATAAAATGAAATTTCAAAAGGTCATGTTATAGTTGTGTCTTTTGCTACTTTCTGTGTGCTGATGACTGTGCCAAAAAAGTAAAGGAACTCGGTGGAAATTTTCTTCCCCTTTTGGCAATAATGTATTTTTTTCCTTTGATGGTGTGAGATCTCATCCTGAGCAGCTGAAGGAATTGCCTTGGGTAGAACTTGCTCATGGAGGTTGGAGTCCCCCTCCTGGTGGTGGCTTGCTTTGTTGCTTCACCTCAACACAGGGTTACTCGTGGGAAATTGAAAACATGTTGAGAACACCAGGTTTTGTCCACTTGATTGTTGGGACTCCTGACCTGTGGGATAGAGGAGCTCTCACTGGAGCAGGTTTGCTGCAGGATTTGTGACCCTGTAGGGGACACACGGTGGAGTAGTCTGTTCCTGAAAGGCTGCATGGAAGGGACCCACACTGGAACAATCTGTTCCTGAAAGACTGCACCCCATGTAAGGGACCCATGCTGGAGTAGTTTGTGAAGAACTGCAGCCTGTGGGAAGGACCCAGGTTGAAGAAGTTGGCGGAGGACTGTCTTCTGTGGAAGGTACCCTACACTGAAGCAGGGGAAGAGTGTGAGGTGCCTTGCCCTCAGGAGGGAGGCACGGCAGAGACAATATATGATGAACTGACCAGAACCCCCATTGCCCATCCCCATGCACTGCTGCTGGGTAGAAACAGAGAAACTTGGGAGTAAAGTTCAGTCTGGAAAGAAGGAAGGGGTGAGGGGAAGGAGTTTTTAAGATTTAGTTTTATTTCTCATTTATTTCTCATTATTCTACTCTGATTTGACTGGAAAACCACAGGTTAACTTCAGTGCATAGTTAGGAATGTCTTGTAATTTTGTAGAAAAGGATCAAGGCAGATGTGAATTTGCTTTCAAGATTAACAGCTGTAATAATAGCCATTTAAAATAAGAACACCAGAAATGGGGTACCAGTGAGGATTGAAGAACAAAACAGAACAAACAAACCCAAACCATATCAGAATGAAGTGGGTTAATACCAAACAAATGGAATTTTCAGGTCACTTAAGCTATCTCAATCAAATCTGAGGTTCCCTGTAAGCTTTACATATGTATGCACTATAAAAAACAGCAGCATTCCTTGTCAATTTGCCTCAGCTGTACCTTGCTGCAGCAGTAGGTCAATATCATAGCTAAGCAATTAATAAAAGGATGTTCAAAAGGCTTTGTTTGAGGATGATGTTGAAACAGAAACGTTACTTCCTGTGAAAGTAGGTTGCCTGAATTACTGATAGATTAGTGATAGCCAGCCTGTCCACTTAAACCACTGTATTTCTCAGTTTAAGATTATGATGAAGTATTCCAGGGCAGTTCAAGAGGAAATCCTATCTCAAGATGCTAAACAGGCTACTCTTAAGATTTTTACACCTTTTGACCAGCAAGGTTATTTAAGCTGTCTGAGGTGGTTTAGCTATCTCAGAGAACATTTTATAGGTGACATCATTAAATTCCTTTAGTTTGATCTGCACATTCTTCTGAGCACATACTCAGTAATTGCCAGCAAATGACAAGTATTAAGTGTGTAAGACTAGTGAGTGTGAGGGGTGACTGATTCTTTTTTTGCAGCTTTCTGTGTGTTGTACTTTTGGTTATGTTAAAAATGGTGGTGATGGGGGGGTTAACAGGGAAAGCAGCTAGACTAATGTCACCAGAGACAGGATGTGTAGCTTTCTCAAGCACTTCAGCCATGCCGGATGAAAAAAACCTGTGAAGTGCTTTGAGATGGTGGCATTTAAGGTCAAATCCAGTAGCCCACCATGACTGCAGACAAACTAAACAGAAGATTCAGACCCAACAGAAAAACTCATTGTGGAAAATCACCACTCATAAATTATTTCATCCGTCCATACAGGGAACAATTTTGGATATATATTTTCCATTTCTATATTTTATATACTTTGTATGTATTTTTGCTTTTATACTCTTCATTATGGTAATCAGCAGTAAAACTTTAAATGAAATTTTTGCACACAACATTTAAGGAATATGTTGGATCATTCCGCTTCTAAAGAAGAGTTTTTTTCACTCCCTGACCATAGTCTTGTTTTTATTTTTTCTGTATTTGTGATCTGCTTCACACTTACCATTTTTCATTAGATGTAGGTATTTTAGGTTGTCTGCATTTATCGTAACTGGTAATTGTTGCTCTATTAGTACTTCTGTCACATCTATTTCCCTTATGGGTGGTTCAGTAATAATCATAAGGCAGGAAAGTATATTAAAATCATATTGAAAAAGATAAATTGGAGGTCTTCTCGAAAAGAGAAGCATAAACGTATCTTTCGTATGCAAGAGATGGCTCCCTTGTGTGTGTTCAGGGTGTCAATAACCCAACCAAAAAGGAAGAGAATTCTGTTCTGAATTATAATAAAACTAAAATGGGATCAAAGCAGCCAGAACTGAGCTCAATTTTCTCATTTACAAAATGCAAGCATTTAATATTGCAGTACCTTAATTGGAAAGATAATGTTGAATTACAATAGAATAGCTGTAAAAGTGCAGGGCACATACGACATCCACAGGAATATCAAATGATTTTTTTTTCTGAAGGTAGCACGGCTGTTAGAATGGATGCAAAATGGATTTATAATGAAGGGGGACATGAAATACAGTCACTGAAATAATTCTATGGCAGCAGATGCCTGGACTCATATTCTAATGTTGTGTTTTATTTGTTAAAATCCTCACACTTTGTTCTGAATTTTGGCTGAATGATCACTTTTGGTAGGGATTAGCACTCCCTTTTTACTCTGAACACACTGCAGAGCTTGGCAATGTACACTGGAAGTGTTGAAATGAGACTGGTCAGTGTTCGTTCTGCACAATAATATTGTCAGGAGAAACAGAGAACAACAGCATTATAAATGAGAGCATACTGTATCAGTGCTGTGGCTGAGTGCATTGCTAGAGCACTCTGGTAAAATGTTATTGATGTTCATATGTTTATAGTCATGGATACAATTGTCCCGTATTGCTATCACACTTTGTGACACTTGTAGATCAGATAATAGGAAGTGTTAGCTGCTAAACGATTCAGTTTGCATCTGAGTTGAGAGTTTTTCATAGGATCAATTTGCTTCTGCAAAAAACTTTGGAGGCTTGAGGAAGATAGAAAGTCTTTGCTCAAAATGTGAGGCAGTCAGGAGCAGTCAGGAAGTAAAAGGAGGCTGGGGAACTGCTGTCTTGGGAGGCCTCTGTACTTGTGAATAATGGAAGTTTATTGGCATATGCTTGGGGGGTCTCCAGTGAGTTCCTTGCTGTTTCGCATTTTACAAGCCAGTGAATTTGCTTTTCATTACTAGAACACTCATTAGTGTTCCCCTAGCAGGAAAATGAGTCATAGGTTCATTACTGTGTATTTCTGATCTATCCATAGGCAATGTAGATTACAGAGGAAAAAAAAAATACAATATAATCTTAGGCATTAGACATATGTCGCCCAAAATAAGAAAAACCAAACAACCCAACACCAAGCAAACCCAGAAACCTTCTGATCTTCCCTCTTCTTCATTTCTCTTCTGCAGGCATAGAAGAGTGATTGGAATAACTTCTGCACATGAGTGAGCAGGTCTCTTTCATTCCTTGGGCTAGTATTTATGCTGACTACAGTTTTCATTTCTTTTCCAGTCTCCCAGCACAATCCACCCTGTTTTTCCCAAATTACATGGAATCTTTTTCCCCGACTGTTATTTATTTAAAAAACTGTTTATTTTTCTTCTTTCTGTTTCTTTCTTCTTTTTTTCTCCTGACAAGCCACTATGTTTGTTTTCACTTGCATCTGAATGACCACCTTTCTTGCTGCTGTGGTACCAGAGGCATGGTCAGGCACTTGTGCATCACTGGAGAAAAGTTACCTTAATGTTGTGGTGCTGAGGGAATATAAAGAGGAACTTCATGCATGGAGGTGGTGAGACTTCATGCCAGTGGGTGAGGGGGACCCTGGGAGCCAGTCTGCCCGTGCCTGCGTGAGCTGGAGCATGGTTTCTGCCAAGGTGCCATTAAACAGTCTTCCCGTTAAACAGGATGGCCCTGTCCCAGGAGGATGGGATGTTAACTGGAGTAGGACAAGGAGCAGCGGTGGAGGCTGGGGTTCCCTGTACCTCAGTCCCTCCGAAATCAGGTGACAGCGTCATGTCAGACATGGGCCCAGGGCCCTCGCCACGCTGAGGGGAGGTTGTGGAGGAAAAACCACTCTTATCTCACCTCAGGAGCAGTAGAAAAGCAGGGTCTTCCATGGCTGCCACAGCTCAGTGGCCTGGGGCTCTCCTGCCAAGAGTCGTCTCCCCTGCATGTGCTGCACTACTTTTAAAGGTGAAAGGAGCTGTCCTCTTGTGTCTGAAAAATACGGTTCACTCTCAGAGGCAAATGCAGTGGGGAGTCAGTTCCCGTCCTGGTGACTGACAGACCTTGTGTGCCAGCAGGCCTGGGGCAAGCAGTGGTTGCATAGTGGTAAACGTGGTCCCCTCTGTGCTCTAAATCCTGGCCTCCTGAGGATTTTCTAGCAGTAAAGCCTGGCTGTGGTCTTACCAGAGGGAGCAAACATGGTGTGGGAGCATGTGGAGGAACGGCAACACACAAAACAAGCAACCCTGGAAAGGAGAGCGGCTCTGAAGCCGATGAGGTTTGATGAGTGTGTTCCCATACGGCTGGAGATCATAATTTGGAGAGAAAAGCCTTGGGAAAGACCCTTGCTCAGGGATGCTGGTGGGAAGTGTGCATGTGCTGGAGACCCTCAGGGGTGTCCAACAACAGATGTGTTCGAGTGCTGGGGTTTGCTCAGGCCTCCTGTTGTTGTACCCTGGAGCACAGTATTCGTGATGGAGGAGTAAACACGGCAATAAAC